GATCGAGACTATCCTGGCTAACATGGTGAAACCCCGTCTCTACTAAAAATACAAAAAATTAGCCGGGCGAGGTGGCGGGCGCCTGTAGTCCCAGCTACTCGGGAGGCTGAGGCGGGAGAATGGCGTGAACCCGGGAGGCGGAGCTTGCAGTGAACTGAGATCGCGCCACTGCCCTCCAGCCTGGGAAAGCACGAGACTCCGTCTCAAAAAAAAAAAAAAAAGATGGAGACAAAACCTAAGTCGTTACGACAAAAATAATAATAATAAACATACCTTTTTGCTCTAGATTAAAATCACCGGAATAATCAGGAACTAAACAGTGAATCTTCTCTTTCAGACCTGCCCAACTCTTAGCCTTATTTGTGACCAGCAGAAGTCTTAACCACTCATATTCAAGTCTGTGTTTTCCTGAATTAACACAGTCACTCAGCATTGAACGGCAAACTATTTCTCACAAAAATTATATCAGGGGAAAAAAAAGTGAAACTTGTTCACTACACCCTTAAGTATCAACTGAGTAAGAATCTGCTAAAGCCACAAACGACCACTCTGTACAACTTTCAATGCATCATTTACTGTACTAAATTTCAAAGAACATTCTCAAATGCTGAAATAAATCAATGCCCAAACACAGCGTCTCGTCAGCTCATGCAATATAGGTTAAATAGTACCATATGGCAAAGACAGACACATGCTGCCCTTTTCTGAAACAAAGAAAAAAATTCTTAAACAAATGTCCTTTACTTTCACATGGGAAGAGTGAGGGATTAGAGAGTTCTTCAAGTGTTAATAGTGCTGAAAAATTTTTAACTCTTAGCCATTAACAAGAAATTATAGTTTTAATAGAGAACCTTGATTTTTAAGCCTGTCTTTAACTGTGTCCTGAAAACTAACACCACATCTTCCTTCACGCACACCATCTCCTAAAAAAGCAAGAAAATAACAGGACAGCTGTATCCTGGAGGCCGAGCCGGCACCAGTCACTCCCCAGGGCGGCGAGAGACGTTGTCTACCTGGTTTTGAAGGAAAAAAAACACCAGATTCCCTCTGCCTTGAAAATAACAAAACACACAAAAATCTCATCCTATTTTCACCACTCAGTTGAGGAATTGTCTGGATTTCACAATTGTATACGATATATATATCTCTTCTTGGCCCAGTAAATTCGGAGATTCTACAGACTTTATTTACTTCCTGACCAAGGTTGTGGGGGAAGGTACAGAAACAGGAATACAAAGTAAATCTACCAGAATTAACAAAGAGTTAAAATACAGTATATGGTAAGATGTATCTAAACCTACTATGGTTGTCTTTTAAATAATTTTTCCTACTCTCCTGCTTGTGTTTTAGTCATTACTTAACATATATTTACATGTTTGCTTTCTAAAAATAGTTGCATTTCTAATTACTCCTGCTTTGTAATTTTCAGTACCATTTGAATTAAAGATTAAATGCCAGATCTTTTTTGGAAATGACTTTTAAGGCATGTTGAGAGCCACAAATTACACTTCTTTACAATTCGAATGTATACCACTGGAAAACATCTCATGCTAGACATAAATACGATGATGGCTCTAGCTTTGGAAAGAGAAGCTTCAGCTGTTCAAGTCACGTGTGGCCAGATGCAGAGCATAAGGAATGCAAAACAGACAGTTGCAACTGCTGGTTTTTACCAGTCCATCTAAAATACACTTCATATACTTTAGTGGATACTAGAAATTTCAAATACAAACAATGCATTTATAGCCCTTATAAATGTATACTTCTTTATACTATTCATAGCTATTTAAGTCATTCCCCTAAAATATTCTTGTTAGAAAAATTAATTTTAAAATAAAGATACTTTTTAAAGAACAGAAAGAGACATTCTAAAGTCAAAGTTGTTCTTTATTCCTCCTCCTCCCATAAGGTTAATTTTATTAATCATTCATAAATGTAAGTATTTGATATGATTCTTTTCTTAAAAGGGGTTTGTGACTTTTCAAAATTCCTGAAAACCAAATGATTTTGATAGTTCTCGTCCAATGGTGGGTGGGAGGGTGGTCTTAACTGAGGGCAGAGGTCATTCCTCTATCAAAGAGAACGTCCCGCCCCACTCCCAAACTCACTGGTTCCTGGGACCAGAGAGAACCGAGGCCAGGGCTTCCATTTGAAAAATGCTATCTTCTCTATGGCCCCTAGATACATTCCCATCATAGGCTGCTGCCACTACACTTTCGGCCAGTCAGGTGGAAGGACTGAGGATGAGAGCCCCAGGAGGGGAGGGAGAAGAAGGGAACAGCTACACTGTCAGCTCATGCCACCAGTTAGCCACCAGCCCAAAGGGAACCTAACCAAACAGTGGAACAACCAAATAATCACTGCTGCACAAACAGAGGCTTGTCCACAGCCCCCACCTCCATCTGCCTCTGAGAACCTCCACATCCCTCGGTGCCTCTCATACACAGGGAGATGTAGTCCAACCATCACCCACTCAGACCTCACAACGGATGCACAGTCTGACACTACAATTCACTTGAAAAATGCAAATCTAAATGACATGCAGTTCCCAACAACAGGGTAGGGGCCGCTTCCAAGGTCCTGTGAGCTAAACACAGTAATAAAATTAGTCCTTCACGTTTAGCCATTAACAGTGCTGGAAGTGAAGCTCTAAGGTGCCAAATCGCAGGCCGCCAGGAAAGGCCTTTTTGCAGGATGCTAGTTAGGCAGTAAATGCAAATTCAGGGAAGTAAGGATGTGCTAAGGAAGTCAGAGCGGCACACGTCCAGCTCCCTGAGCAGTGAACAAACCCACAGATATTCTTTGCACTACGTTCAGTAAGATAGGCAACTGAACTTTTCCACAGCTTCTAGAACTTTTGAGGGGGAGGGGTCGGGACAGCAAAGAGATGCATTTTTGAAAGAACTAATTGACTGTGTCAGAATAGCTTCATCCAAGCACTAAAATGTATAAACATTCACAGCACGAAAGATGTCTGCTTTTGAAGAAGAAATATTACTTCCAAGTTCAAGCATTTATAAAGCAGATACCTAATCAAATACATTTAACTTTCTTCCATTACAGTTATATTCCTAATAATTAAATCCATGTCTATCACTGAGAAAGTTACACATCTCCAGTTAAATTTGGCCAGCTGAAAACCAAAGAGAAAGTTGATTGTGTTTCCTGCACATTTAACAGCAATGCCTTCTTCAGTCAGAATCTAGTAATAAGCGAAATACCATTTTTAATTAGATAATTAACACAAGTCCTTTTCTCCTGAATTGAAAATGGAGTAAAAAACAAAACAGTGCCTGTCTTCAACATTTAAACAAGCATATTATACAGGAAAGTGCACACGTTTGGACAAGCTCCCTGCTGCAGAATGCAGTCAGCTTATATTTCAGTCTCTATCTCTACGGCATTAAGGTATAATGCAGCTGAAACTCTAAACACAGTCTCCAGTCAGACTTACAACCACTCCCACCAAATTCTTTTTAAAAGATGCCTTCTCTTAAATTATGAATAAGACCAACATGTATTCTGGACAATGAATAAATAAAAATCCACAACCACCCAATACAATGAGTACTAGTTTTTCAAGAATAATCCATGACTAAACTCTACGTCAATTGCTAGGCCACGTTATCCTTTTTCCCCATTTGGTAAGACTGAAAACCATCTGTTGGAGCATACCTCATTTCAAAGTATTCTTTAAAGAAGTCTCCTTTCCTTTTTCACATACGCTGCTAAACTTAATCACATCAAATGCTTCACTTATAAAACTCAAATATCTCTTCGCAGGAGGAAGTTAGGTAAATGGAGTTAAAAGTTTCATTTATGAAAGTGAAGACAAAGTGCTTTTCACATTGTGACCTCTTTTCAAAGACCTCTCTCATTCCCTTCAGTCAATTTTGGTCTCTGGGACAACATCTTACAAAAAAAAAAAAAAAGTTAGAAATGTAGGACGTCAGGGCTCCAGGAAAAATAAAATCTCTGAATTAGCAGACTCTGAAGGTTGTTCACAAATAACAATGGGAAAACATTGGTGAGGTAAACTATTCTCAGGATGTCAACAATTCATAGCAGACACATTTCTCAAAGTTCTTGATCTAGTGTATTTCAGGATATTAAGCCATTTGGAAAGATTATTCTAATAAACAAAAGCTTTCAGAAATAAAAATAAGCAGAACTCCCATCTCTCTCTGCATTGTTGAAAGCTGTACACACTAAACCTGCTATTTTGGTGTTGTTTCATTTTAGAGAGGCATTCCCGTTCCTCTTGGTTAGTTTTATTACAGATCCACCGGGATTATTATTTTTTTAGAAGGTTAATGTGCTCTGGTGTTTCACTATATTCAAATTAGCAAGTGTAAGAAAACAAAGCCATACTAATGAATTAAGAAAAACATTAGACATGCTTGTACCTTACACCAAAAATCAAATTCAATTACCAAAATACTTGTGAGTCTTACACAGAGTTGAATTCATCCCAGAGCCCATTCAAGATGGCCATGGGGGTCACTCCTGTGAAACTAAAGATGTCCTCCTATAAGTAACCCAACTCTCAAACTCCTGACACCATGGCAGGCTCCTACGCAGCTTCACTCTCCAATTTTACTAAGAGGGGGCGAGGGGTTCTCAGACCCATGCACAATAGTGGTGTGCGGTATATTTAATTCTGGCTGGTCTGTGTAAATATAAATAACAGCTACTTGACGACATAATCAAAGAATGCAAGTGAAAATGAAGCTGGAACAAACAAATGACAAAATGAGCTCTTTTTATTTTACATGGTAGTAGCCAGTATCCTAATAAATAACATGCATGCCTAGCTCTTTTAAGTAACACATCCCTAAACCGAAATACTTCAATCATATTAATAGGCTGGTTTTTAAAAAAAAGCTGAAAAAGCTCCTTTTGGGAGCCTAGCCCCCTTTGCATCTACTGGAGTCATTATCTTTAATAGTATTTAGTCCATAGCCCCATGGTGAACGTACATTACTCAGCTTTTAAATCACCTTCAATCAAGATTCGAGACTGCATGGCAGGTTGACAGGCGCAATGCCTTTCTGCTGTATGTGTAAGTCGGATCCCCACTAAAGTTCCTTTTGTGACTTGCTGGTTAAGTCAACACGGCGAGTGGACCGGAGGGTCCGAGGGCTCCCTCCTTTGTTACGCAGGGGACACCCCTGGAAGGCCAGCTCAACGCCCACGGGCACATCTGGGCTTTTCCAGGCAGTCCACAGAGCCATCCCCGGCCTCTTTACCGCCGAGACACTGTGAGGTCACACACGCAGGACACAAAACCCGCACGCAGCAGCCCCTCGCGAGGCGCCCCAAGCCCGGGTGCCCACCGCCAACTCCCACCCCAAATCCGCTCGCGGGCGCAGGACCGGTTCAGGTGTGAACACTTATGTAATCGTCCTCGGGGCCACGCCTTTCCCACCGCCCCACCTCCGCCAGAACAAAGTGAAGTTTAAAATAGAAACCAATTACCTGGCCTCCGCCGCGCCTCGGCCCCCGGAGCCCGGTCCACGCCG